TTCTGTAATAACGCAGATACAGCAGGCTTTCAATATTTCATATCACAGCTAAGAACAGAAAACCTGATTATTAGGAGCCGATGATTTGCTCGGGCTTTTAAGGAAAATTCTTTTCATTCTCAAAGTCTTTTGCTATATGTTCACAGAAATGGGGGGTTGGCCTACATTAAGATACCACTGCCAGTCAGTGGTGGCATCACCAGAGAGCTGTCACATGAATGAGGTCACGTCTCCTGTTTCCTCTGGCGACAGCTCTAGGAAGAAACAGGTGCAAAATACTCAATAATAAACCCATGATGCATGGATATAGTCCTTCATATATCCACCAGAAACAGCCTCTACAATCACATTAGGCAACCCGTGACTACTAATTAGCGGAAATCTTCCTCTTTATAATAACATGAACTGAAGATGAATTCTTGAGCAGGTCGTACTGGTCAGCGTATTGGGAGCAGGAGCAGCCAAACACCAGCTCAGCAGCAGCACAGTCTGCCCCGGAGACATGGAGCTGAGACTAAAGATGAAGAGAGAGGGAGAGGATGGTAGACTGGCTCTGGTTAAGTGGGGCAGAGGAGCAGTCAGCAGAGAAGATCGAGGATAATGCAGCCAAGTCTTTCCTGATGTGCAAGTTCTGCCCGTCGCTTTTCTTCTCTGGCGGAGTGACCTCAGAGCAGCAATTCCCATCACATGCTTCAGCATACATCCCTGAGTCATAGCACAAAGCCTGCAGCGCTGGCAGGAGCGCAGGCGGCGTGCTCACATGTATACACGCTGAGTGAAAGCAGCTTTATGTTTAGGATCCGCCAAAACGCCATACGGACCGCAAACAGAAGCATGAAAAGAAGATATCAATGAGAAGATAGCAATGAGTGGAAGCTGCATTACTACACACGTCTGGGTCGCAACAAAGCGGTCACATTAAATCACGCCATGCGTTAAACGGAGGGCCCCAGAACAAGCGAAACGCATTGTTCCGGTCTAGTTATGTTGCGCTTGTCATGCCCGACACGGCACGGGAGCGTGAGAGAGAAATAGAGCAGGGAGAGCGGTGCATGGCCAAAGGACACGAGAGAAGAAAAAATCGGAAGAGACGATTGTCTCAGGCTGGCTGCACATCGCCTACGCCCATTCATAGTGTGCGTGTTTTACTACCCAGACTCCTGGCATCCCCCCTCCTCCTCTGATCAGCCAGGATTTCGTCCGTGCATTTCCCATCTGTAGCTAGTGACGGTGATTTCACTGCGCACACGACAGCGTGGATTTCCAATACCGATGCATAACACATGCGTTTGAGAATATGGTGAATTATAGACCGAGCACTATTTTGTTGAGATTTTGCTATAACTGTATATTATATTGTGTTGATATAATATTAATATACTGGGGGTTGTGAGATTTAACCTCAGCGCCTCTCTCACAAACCCATCATGAATGCCCCTAAAAGCATCGATATCTGCCATCTCACAGGCCAGACACTAACTTTGATCAGCCATGCCCCTCAATCCAGGGGGCTAAACAAAGAGAGAAGAAGAAGAAACGTCACTCTTTTGTTGTTTCCCTTACAGCGTAATCTTAATCGGATTTAAATCTCCGCCACCTCCGTCAAATATAGGGTCCCGGGTGTAGCCCGCGGGTGATGGGAAAGTGACCACGAGTTAAATTATTCATATTCAGATGATAATCGGTGCAAATGGCAGGGCTGTCTGAACGCAAGGTGCCGGTCGGCGCCTGCGTAACCAGCCGGGCGCTCCTGTCCTTCATCAGACAGCAAACGCCGCGAAATAAGTAAAGGACTCACCTCGTGGTTGATCGGGAGACCGGGAGTCTAAGGAGGGGGGGATTGGTGGTTAGGCTTCCCCCCTCTTTTCTACTAAAAGACGAGAGATTTTATACGAGACGAAATCCGTTTCTCGAAAATATCCTCCCGCGCCAGATGATGATGGTGATGTGGTGTGCGGGGGGTTTGGCTAAAAGCTGGATGCTGTCATCGTACTGGGACTGCTCCCTGCCTAATCCTCGGCCCTGAGCTCAGAAATAACCCACCCCCTCTCTCTGCTCGTCTCTCTCTCTCTCTCTCTCTCTCTCTCTCGCTTTCTCTCCTTCTCCACCCCCTCGCTGCCTCCATCGCTGTCTGTCCGGGAGGACCCCCCCCCCCCCCCCTCTACCCGATCATCCCACCCCTTCTCCACAAGGTCAGTTAGTTACAGCAAATGAGTTATTATAGTCATTGTAGTCAGTAAGGATTCATTTGGGCGTTTCTGATAAGTTCTTCGGTTAGTATGTTAAGTGAAGAAGTTATAGAGCAAATCAAAACCATAAAATTAGATTTACTGTCAAATAAATCAACATATAATAATAATAATAATAATAATAATAATAATAGTGTGTGTGTGTGTGTGTGTGTGTGTGTGTGTGTGTGTGTGTGTGTGTGTGTGTGTGTGTGTTGAAATAATCTTAATTTTAAAAGCAGCCCACACGCACAGATAGACTGCTGTGCTATACAGGAAATTTGCCAGGGGCCCCAGACGGCCGGGTTCCCAAAGGGTTCCCGATTTATTGTAGGCTATTTCAGCTGGCCTCAGGTAATTTAGTTAATTACAACTTTGCCTGGCATCATACACATAATCACTCAGTTAAATAACAACGGTCCCAAAGCGGAGCCTGTGCTGCTGCCACTCTCAAAAAGATCTATGCACTTCCTAAATTAAATGTTTTTAAAGCTAATTACCGAAAAACAGGGTCAAATTGACCCTTGTGGACCACACCCGAGAGACCAACATTATTATTATTATTATTATTATTATTATTATTATTATTATTATTATTAGTTTATTTTCTTAACATGATATTATGTTTTAGCAGAAAGACAATTTCCTGAGGAGTATTAATTCTTCTGCATTACACTGGATAAGACTATTTTAAGTATCCAGCAGAGCATACATAAGAATAATATAATAAATAAAACATAATTAGAAATAACTAAAATAACTAAACTATTCCAATTTTAACTAAATATACGATAAAACTGTTAAGGTCTAATAAAGGCGCCACTATACACGTTCGCGTTCTGATTCCTTTGTATGGTTTGTCCCTATGTAGGCACCGTATTTCGTCTTAATTTCCGGTGTTGCGTATTTCCGTTTTAGCTAATTCGTCCATGCGCCTGAAACGGTGAATTTTTCAGGCGAACCAGACCGAGTAGAATTACAGCAGCAATGTTTAAACTGGAAGGGCTGGGACCCAAAATGGACCCGGAGGAGATGAAGAAGAAAATGCGACAAGATGTCATCTTGTCTTTACGAAACTTCCTTATTTACGTCGCTCTGCTTAGAGCCAGTGAGTAGCGTCAGATGACATTGAAAGCTGAGTAGACCGCTCACGGGTATCTAATGCAGCTCATTATCAGTAAACTGTGTCATTTGCTCACCTTCTCTTTGTAATAATCATGCATGTGAAGTAACCCGAGCACATCAAAATGTTGCCACAATCAGGTATATTATGTTGTGGTTTACAGTATTTATAAATCACATACACCTCACGTGCCAGGGAGTACTGAGCTTGATACACAGTACTGTGGAAAAGTGTAGGGTCATCATTTATTCTTTATGTATTGCTAGGCAAATGGGGGAAATTGTGCAGTGATTTAACGAAACATGTGGAAACATACATAGAAACGGGGTATATAACAGAAAAACACAGTTAGTTCAATTCTAATGAGTTTGAAAGCCTCCACCGTGTTTTACAGATGACACTTGTGTAGCTCCTGACCTCCTCTGTAAATACTGACAATGATTTGAACACAAAATGCCAAATTTGGATTAGTCACTCAATACTTGTGCACAGTACTGTATATATTAGTGTTGGTGTGTGCTTCTGTCTTTCCTGTTCTCTTCCTATAAGAATTTGTTTACCTGTAGCAGGTAAGACGGTGTCTGTTCATCTGTACCTGAGAGCTGTGTATCTATTTGGACTGGTGCTGGTTGAGCTTATATGACGTTTGTCTGTGTTTACAGCGCCGTATGTGTTAAAGAAGCTGGACAGCATATGAGCGGAGCAGCTGGTCTCCTCCTCCTCCTCCATCCATTCACAGAGAGCTGATTGCATCAGAGACGGCATGGATGTCCAGAAGCAGACTGCTGGTTCCATTACAAAATCACAGCGGAAAATTACCAGCGTTTGTCCATCACTGCAGTGGAGAAACCGGCTCACACACATTCAGTTTTGTTTCACTTTGTAAACTTTTTTTTCTTTTTCTTTTTTTTAACTATTATTATTAAAACACATTGTCACTCTTTGTTTATACATGTTTTGTCTTTAATAGTTTCTTCCAGATGTCATAATAAAGTCAATCCATGTTTATGTTGCCAGTGTAAAAGTGTTTCTTCAGCAACTAATATTTGAGAGATATACTTAATACACAGCACGTATTAGTAGCACTAATATGTATGTAGTATGAAACTATAGATAATATACAACTATTTCTGGCTCTCTGAAGATAAATTATTGCTGTATTGTTGCTACAATTTAAAAAATTTGATCAAATATTTTGGCTGGTTTGTGCCCGAACTTCCTATATCGTACCATGTGGGGGCGCTGCTACTTAAGTCTGCGGACTAGTGAGACTGCAAGTGATGGAGGCGTCAGCAATGGACGCTAAACCGGGCTATTGTGTGTGAGCTGTGTGGCTTACCAACCGCATAAGGGTGATCACGCCTGCAGTTTGAGGTTCGTTTTGGTGAGGAGAGCATCAGCTGTGCGCACGCGGGATCCTTCGCGTTCCTCCGTGTTACCGTTGGACCAGGCCCGCCCATACTCCAGAACATCTCTAGAAAAGCCGGTGAATCAGACAATAACGCTGCTAAACACTGGAGCTGTGCTCCAAGAGGCTGTTCGCAGCGGATGAGGAGATAAGATCGGTTTCTTATCGATCGACCGGCCCGATGGATTCTCGATGATAATCTGATATCCTTAGTGTTTAAGAACCAGCTCCATTGGCCGTGATGAACTTTCCAAGTCACTTCCAGCATATTTTCAAGCAGCTCAACCACCAGCGCCTCCAAGCTCAGCTGTGTGACTGTGTAGTGGTGGTTGGAGGTCAGACCTTTCAGGCTCACCGCTCCATCCTGGCAGCATGCAGTTCTCACTTCAGGGCTCTCCTCACCTCCAGCGACACTGCAGATGAGGCTGGAGGTTCAGGGGCTGACAGGTGTCGAGATGGTCCCAATGTGATAGAGCTCGATCCGGAGGTGGTGACCCCAGAGTCTTTCTCCACCCTGCTCGATATGATTTACACCTCCACTCTGTCCCTAGGGACCTCCAATGTGATGGATGTGTTACTGGCGGCATCGCACCTGCACCTCAACGCCGTGGTCAAGGCCTGCAAGATACACCTGTCCAGGAAAAACTTCCCTGCCTCTGCGCCTAAAGGTTGGAGGTCTGTGCAGCAGCAGGAGCAGGAAAGTCCATCTTCCCAGGTAGCAGGCAGTTCACAGCAACGGGTCAGATCAGGCCTGGAAGAGGACCTCGATAAAGAGGAAATGGGAGAGGAGGTGAGTCAGTCTGGTGGGGATGAAGACTGTGTGGTGATAGTGGGGCATAAGAGAAAGCTGCATGAGGACAGGCTCAGTGACAAGAAGAGAACCTGCAGACTTCCTGGATCAAACTATAAGGAGTGTTCGCCTATTGTTACCAGGAGCTGTGTGAGCCATGAGGAGAGAGGAGAAGCTCCGTTGTTTTCAGGTTGCCTGCAGATCACTGACACACTCTGGGAAAACCAAGGTGATGATGAGGAGAAGAAGTACAAAGCACCCAAAGGAGAATTAGAGGAAATCCAGCTGCCGAGCCAGTCGGATAGCAGCATAGCAGGTGTGTGGGAGAAGTGTGAACATACAGATGGAGACAGTGTGGTCAAGGTAAAGGTGGGAGAGGAAGAGGGAGACAAACCTCAGATGGCAGTGATTGAGGTGAAAAAAGAAAATCTAAGCTCATATTCTCCAGATTTGTTAACCAGTAATTCTCCTCCGTCTCCACTGGAAGCCTGCACAGATAATTTGAATGCACAATTCAGTGGCGAGAAGATGGTTGCAGCCAGCCCAGCAACATGTAATGTTGGCTCTTTACAGTCAGAGCTGTGCACAGATCTTCGCACCGAGGAGCAGGGAGAAACTGGAGATTTGGATGAGGACTCGGCAGATGGTGAGGGCCTGGACAGCCTGTCAGACCTGGCCTTTTCCTGCTTCCTCAATCCCGGCACTGACAGTGTCATGGGAGCTCTGGAAGAAGATGACAGTCTAGCCAGCCTCACAGCTGCTGCCACAGCTGCTGCCGCCGCCGCCAGCGAAGCTCCTCCAGCTCTGGTAGATGCAGGTGAGCACGATCAAAAGTCAGACGAGGCAAACACCTCTACTGCTCAGTCTTCAGACTCTTCATCTTCACTTATCTTTCCGGTCACCTCGGTCCCCTTGCAGCAGCTTCTCCCAACTCAGAGTCCAGGATTTAGTGACACCATCATCCTCCAGCCCACCCAGAGCTCTCTAACAGGGTTCCTGAGCACCGTCAGATCACCACTCAGTGCGGGAGCCCCTGTCGTCCAACCCTCGAGGGCAGGGAAAAGCTCAGGAGCAACAACCTTCCGTCGAATCGCCCCCAAAACGCAACCTGGATCAGAAGCCGGCACAGAGCTTTCCCATGGCTCTGGGGGGGACGTCGCCGATCGGCCACCTCTGACAAGAGCTTCAGAGGATGTTCTCTCCAAGTGCAAGAAAGCAGCTGCTGAGGACCACGTGCTACTGGTGGAAGGGGAGAAAAAATATGCCTGCAAAATCTGCTGTAAAACCTTCATGAACTTGACTGACTGCAAGAAGCATATTCGTGTCCACACAGGAGAAAAGCCCTACCCCTGTCCCAAGTGTGGCAAGCGCTTCAGCCAGTCCTCCCACCTGTATAAGCACTCGAAGAACACCTGCTTAAACTGGAAAGATGACCAGTCTTTGGCAGGCACTTTGCTCTAAATATGGACTGTTATTTATTACTATTTAATTAAATTAAGTCTATAAAATGTATCCAAACTGATGCAAATGAACTGATGATGGCTTAAATTGCTGCTGTGCTACAAGTTAATGAGAATAAATGATTCATTTGGTCTTTTTTATAGATCACTAATCTATTTTTTAACATGAGATAATACAAAATTACACACTTTTGTGCATGAAAGTTGGCTTTTTATTCTTCAGAAAAATCATATTTCATTACAAAAACTGGAGTGTTATGCTGTTTCAGTAACGGGAGAGATGAAGTATTAGCAGAGAAAGTGCAGATAAGTAAGTTCATTGTGGTAAATATTGCATTTTAAAATGGGGGAGATGAGTTTTAAGAATACATTATAGTGTATTTTGAGAAGTTTTAGGGTTAACAAGGGCCGATGGTTTGTTATTTAGGCCATTAAGTACTTGAATATATTTCACAAAAATGCACCAATCATTTCCTTCCTCAAAAATGCACAATGAATATAACAAGTGCTATCGGTGTCAAAAATTACAGATTAAAGTGAAACTATGAAGCCAACACTGATCATGTCCCCGACCGTGACTGAACTACATTCTTACTATTCTTTTCATCCACATTACTTCATTATTGTTTTCTGCTGTCAGCAGAAGAGGCACAGCGGCTCACTTTGAGGCTCTTAGAGGGTGAGTTCACTGGGCATGTCTGTGCCCTGCAGACCACCCAGCAGGTTTTGCACTGCCAATGCCGACATGACGCCTCTCGTGGAGTAGGTGGCACTGCCAATGTGAGGTAACACCACTGCATGGGATAAAAACAGGACAGAAAATATTTTTTAAACAGTAAATTAAACATTAGAGGTCAGAAGCAGACATCTACGTGGGGAACAAGCTTTCTGCTCACCGCAGTTCTTTAGCGTGAGAAGCTGGTGGTTTGTTGGAAGTGGCTCAGGTGTTGTGACATCCAGTCCAGCTGCGGCTATCTGTCCACTGCTCAGTGCCTCATATAGATGCTCCTGATTCACCACAGCCCCCCTAAATCAAATAATTCACTGTATGATGATGGGGATTTATTGTTATTAAAAAAGTACAAAAAAAAAAGTACCTGCTAGTATTGATGAAGACTGCGGTGGGTTTCATCTTGCTGAAGAAACTCTTGTCGCACATGCCCTGGGTTTCTGGTGTCAGGGAGCAGGAAACAACAATGAAGTCGCTCTCAGACACAAGTGTGTCCAGGGGAACTGATCAACAGAAGAGGTGACACAGGACAAACACGTAGATTAACAATCAATAAAATATCCACTATGAAACTATGAAGCCAACACTGATCATGTACCCGACCGTGACTTATTCTTTTCATCCACATCACTTCATTATTGTTTTGAATGAACGTCTTTCCCAAAACCCAGTTTGTTGGAATATAAATGTGAATGTACTCCTCCAAAAATTGTTATGTACAATGTAAATAAGGATATAAAGCAATTTAAGCCCTATATGAGAACACGCATCCTGTTTTTTGTAAAGTGTTTGCTTCCAGTGCCAGCATCGCCTTTAAAAGGAGAGGAACAAAAGGCCTGACTGGGTATAAAAAAAGAGGATGTGAGTAAAACTGAGACAGAGAGGTTCACCACTCTGTAAACACTACATACAAAACATTAAAAGTACAATAATCACGTCTGCTTCACAAAACAAGGGACAAGGCTGTGTCTGTGATCTCTGGGCCCTTGGGCAGCGCTGCATTTATCACAGACAGAAATCTGCAGTAGAAGTAAATATGTTACACTTATTGTCACATCTAAAGATGATGGAAATACCAAGGCTTGTGGATGTATTAGTGATGATGTAAGATGGTGTTATCCTAATTTATTTAATCCCTTCAGCAACTTGAGAGTACTGTGATTTGATCTTTATTTTTCTATTCTATCTATCCATCCATTAAATCTACCACGTATTAAATCTACATCATTAATTGCCAGGAATAAAACCTTTGGACAGGCCTTGTGTGTAAATTTGCACGAGAGCTCAGATGCCATCTTCACTGTAGTTTCTTTGTTTCAATCCAGCCATTTACAGTTAAATGTGGGGTTTAACTGATGTGCAACACATTGCATTCTGTATAATTCACATTTTGTGTCCACATGCCTTTGGAAACAGGGTTAAATTAGGTTTACAACTACTGCCCTCCCCTTTCTACCTTGCTGTGCTTTATCATCCCCCTCTCGCTGTGTGCATTTCTCTATTCATTCCTTACCAAACTCTCCGTTCACTTCAGCAGCGTGCGGCTTGGCTGTTCTCCCAGAGTACAGAAGTCTCTTTACTCCGAATGGCATGAGTCTCTGAGCTATGGCCATGCCTGCACACGAACACAAGCAGTTATTCAACTACCATCAAGTCTTAAATGCTAGGAGGAAAATCTGATCAGACTTTGCAAATTAGATATGGTTATAAAGTCAACCTATGCGTCCCAGTCCAATGACTCCTACAGTGCTGCCAGAAAGACCGTAACCACACAGCCAGAGAGGTTTCCATGAGCTCCAGCCACCACTTACAGGAAGAAAAAGTGTGATCATTGTATAACTAATATCAGCAATTTGAGCTGAACGGTTAGAGAAACAACCGTTGAGGTGAGACTGACTTTTTCACCTCCTCCACTCCCTCTGGTAATCTGCGAGCGGTGGCCAGCAGCAGAGCCACAGTCAGCTCTGCTGTGGCATCAGTCAGGACATCCGGGGTGTATCCAACACGAATACCACTGTTGAAAACAAAACATAGGTATAACTGAGGAGGCATATAGTGTGTCCTGTTATTGGTTAAAAGTGAAGTTCAGTTGGTTCACCGTTTTTTGATCTCATCGATGGCTAGGTGGTCGAATCCCACAGACAGCGTGCTGATCACTTTCAAGTTCGGCCCTGAAATCAAAGACAAAACAGCTAAGCAGTCACGTAGCTGTCAAATAAATGTAATCAAATCCCGAGGTTAAAAGCAACAAAATGGCCATCTTCATCCAGACAATATAAGCTGAATGATTAACAGTGATTATGGACAGACCTAAGGGGTTCAGGCCTGATAAATAAAGTCACTGTCCCCCCTCAGCGGAATTCTAACTCATGCACATGGTTTAAAGTAGTTTACTGCTTCTGCAGCAGTTGTGGTAACAAAGCATGGCTGAGGTGGCTGAATGGACAGGCCTTTCCAGCTCAGACTTCCAGCAACCCTTTGAAACCAAAAACAGGTGCTTGAGCGGCTAGTTTTAACTTTTTAAACATTACTCTATGAGTGTACAATGTATGGTTGTAATCTTGTATAGCGTGTTGGAGTCTAACCCCCCCCCCATGTTAAAGTTGGCCTCCTGTCCATTCCAGTGTGCTACAGACCCTGACAGACAGATCCAAATCAGTACTACTACACAGGGTAATCAAGTGCCCCACTTTGTGTGGGAATGCACAGCATTTATATTTTCTGACCCCCACGGTCCCTCAGGGAATGAAAGTTAGGAAAACACACATGAGGTGATTAGCAGAAAGAGGGAGATAGGAAAAACTATTTTTTCTGGTGATAAATATATCAAAAGCATTATTAAAAATCACCCACACTCATACTGTTTATTTAGTCTGCTTAGATCTGGTCACCCTACCACCTGAGGGCAGTGCGTACCTGCAGCCTCCAGGACCTCAGCATCGATCTTGTCCGACAGCAGGCACAGAAGACCGTGAGCCCCCTGAATACCTTTGAGAAGGTCTGCCCTCGGAACAGGCTCATCGGAGTCCCACTGAGACACCTCACACCTGCTTCCAACGAGACACGACAAGAACGAGATGCATGAAGTAGCATGTCATTCAAACATGCAGGCTAGCTTGTGCAAGCAGAGAAAACTTCGAGTAATGGTGTGGCAACAGGAGTGTATAAACATGAATCACAGCGTGCATGAGCCGATCTGCACAACACTGTTAACGACAGCTTGCTGTTCATTCACACACAAAAACACTTCGTACACTCCAGCCGCTGACAGGATCTTCAGCCCCTCTTGCGGGATGCGCCTCGTTATGAAAACCTTCATGAGTTTTCCCGCTGACTGCATCCCACTTTAACGACAGAAAACCTGCACACTCAAGACTGAAACTTGAAGCTTTTAACCTTCAACGTCAGCAGAGCCCGGGCTACTCTCGAGACGCCAGGAAGTAGTCAAACTCACACCACTGC